AATACACAATTAATCACTTCAACGTGAATGTGTATAAGATAAAGGTGATCAAAAAGAAATGGAAAAAAGAAATTTTATTTCTTGACGGCTCCGTGGCGTAGTGGCTTGCTGCCCTGGTGGCCGCGGGTTCGAATCCCGCACGAAACAAGTATTTGTATAGCCTGCACATAATTTCTCCGGGTCTGGATGTTTGTCCTTATGCAATTTATGTTTCTAAACTGTCTCTACGATTCAGGAGAAAATCCTAGTGTATAATAACATTTTTTTAAAAAAAGACTTGTGTTTTACAAACAATTTTCGGCATGGTAGGGCTCTATAAAGCAAAAAGTTTTTTCATTGGTCATTGTTACTGCCGTTATGTAGACACTAGTTACGATGCGTGCATATAAAATTTAAATCAGGTGCGTGCAATCACCCTGGGAGCTCGTAGCAAACTGAACGTGCGCCCAACGTGTGGACGCGACGGCCAATACTCTGCCACAACCCTTTGATCTTTTGCAAAAAACCGACACCACACGGATCTCGCGCCAACTTGTGGGCCATCGTTCCAATACATACCAACGTAGCTTAAACACCCGCACTACACGATGGCCATCGTTGTTGGCCAACACATTCGCCAGTATGTTGGCCAACGTGAAGATGCTGCCGTCTCGCGCCATCTTGTGGGCCATCGTTCCAATACGTACCAACGTAGCTTAAACACCCGCTCTACACGATGGCCATCGTTGTTGGCCAACACATTCGCCAGTATGTTGGCCAACGTGAAGAGCCGCCGTCTCGCGCCAACTTGTGGGCCATCGTTCCAATACGTACCAACGTAGCTTAAACACCCGCTCTACACGATGGCCATCGTTGTTGGCCAACACATTCGCCAGTATGTTGGCCAACGTGTAGAGCCGCCGTAAGTCTATGCATCATGGTGCGATGGTGCGAATCATAGATAAATAAATATGTAGCAAGCTAGTGCGAATGACAGCTCACGTGAAGTTTTATTTTCGTATTTTTTAGTATTTTTTCTTCTACCTTTCCTTTTTAGAGTCCTTTCCTTTTTTTTGTGGCAGTTTGGTAACGTATTTTTTTATTTTTTTTATTTAACTAGCTTTACGGCTCTGGGTTCTAGCTCTTCTAAACCTTTTTATATTTATTTTAAACTGGCTTTACGGCTCTGGGTTCTAGCCCCTCTAAGACTGAAGTTACAATGTACTAACTTTACGATACATTCATCAAAAATTCACTTTCACATTTATTCACAGTTTGTTTACGTTTGCACTATTGTTTAATAACACGTTATTCTCATTTTTATATATCTTGGACACCAGATGTAAAGGAATATAATGGTCGGAAGAATTTTTCATCAGCTAATAAACTTTGAAGAGTATCAGGAACTTTATCATTGTTAATATCTTGAATGGAATTAATGAGGAGTAATCTATTCAAACCAAACTGACTGCATTGAAAAACCAGATGTTTTAGGTCTCCTTTCGTGTCTCCACAATATTCACAATTTGCATTTTCTTTCATTCCCAAACGATGTAGGCTACTCTGCTATGTCCAAATCTCATTCGGTTTACAGTCGTAATGAATTTTCTATTATTATTCCCTTTTGTGTTGTATCAAGGAGTGGCTGGCGGGCTTTTTTGTATATCATAATACCAAATTCCTTTCTTCAAAGTTCTTGCTTGGCTTAGCTTTCCATTGACTCCCGTCGAGTTGGGGGTGGATACGTATTTTTACAGAAAAGTTACACTATTATAAGCACACACACAAAGTTACAACATGCGGAAACGCGTAATTTTTGAGAAAAAAGTTATTGAAAATCAATTATTCTTGCATTGCTTATATCTAATCCTACCATAAAACTGACGCCATTTTGTAATGTCATTGTCGTCAGTAGGGATGTCGATTCTTTCCGAAAAAGGTCTATTTTTAAATCGATTCAAATCGTAAGCTGATGTATCGATTCACAAAAAATTGATTTCTAAAATATATATATTTTTTTATGTTTGCATTTATAATGTAAATATAATTCAATTTTATGAAAAACAAGAAAGATACCATAATAAATGATCTCTTATTGAAATTTGTTCTATTTTAACAGTACCAATTAGGGCAGATAACAAATAAAATAGGTTAGGTCCAAAGCTGCGGCAGCGAGAAGGGATGCCTGCAATTTGTTACGCTATGGCGTAGAGGCTGCTCTTCCCGCAGCGCCGGAGACGTAACAGTTTCAAAATAGATACAAAATGTAATTTTTTATCTATTTTGAAATATTATATATAATGTAATTTTTTTTGTAATCCATTTTGTTGGATTCAATAGCTGTTATAACACTTTTTGAATCAGTTACAATTAGAAACTGTGAATTCGCAATATTTTTTATGTACAATGAAGTTAAGTATATTGCATAACATTCAGCTGTAAAAATAGAGCATAAATTGTGAATTTTAAAAGTTTTAGATATTTTCTTTTGTGAATCATAAAATGCTGAAGTTGTGTACTCTTCAGATTTTGATCCATCTGTATATATTGTATAAAAATCATTATCAGCTAGATATCTTAACATTTCCATTTGAGAATTCACTTTTTCTTGACATACAGAAACATTAATTAAAGCCATGGTTTACTTTGATACACATTTTTGGTTTGGGTCTGTGAGTATAAAACAATCTTTAGGATGTCTGGTAATCGACCAGATAAAAGCATATTTACATCAATGTATGAGCTATCATCAAACTCAGGAACTTCATAAGGAAGTATTTTTTTTAAAACTAAATAATTTTTTGGACTGATTAATTTAACACAAAACCGCTCAGCAATTTGTAGCCTTCTTAGTAAAAGTGGAGGAATACAACTTTCTACTTCCATTACATGGATTGGTGTAGAGCACATAGCCCGAGTTATTATACGCAACGCTTTATTCTGAATTATATCTAATATCTTTAAAATCAATCTGTTTGCATTTAAGTATGCTAATGTGCTGTAATCAAAATGACTTCAAACTATACTTTTATAAAGCATTGATAACAACTTTGGGTCAGCTCCCCAATGCACACCTGCTAATGATTTTAACACATTGAGACCCCTACAGGCATTTTTACACAGATTATTTACATGTTCTTGGAAAGATAGCTTCTGATCAAGCAATATACCTAAAATTTTTTTTTTCTGTAACCAAGGCAATGGTATGTTACTATATTTTACAAAATTATCACATGTACCTATTAGAGCAGAAAACAAAATAGGTTAGGTTCAACTTATGTCAAAGAACCGAATTGATTGACCCCGACTCCACCTGGTACGAGTCTGTCCTACCCCTAGAGTGGTTTTATAGAGCCGGAGGCGCGTAGGGGGAACAGCCTCCGCCGTAGAGGCTGCTCTTCCCGCAGCGCTGGAGACGTAGCAGTCTCAAAATAGATACAGAAATCCTTCTGAATCAGTCCCCTTATTTTTTTTATGACGAAGGGAATTTTTTTCTCATAAAATGGATTTATATTTATATAATTATTTACATTATAAATGCAAACATGAAAAAAATATAGATATTTTAGAAATCGATTTTTTGGGAATCGATACATCAGCTTACAATTCGAATCTATTTAAAAACTCGATCTTTTTCGGAAAGAATCGACATCCCTAATGATAATAATAATAAAAATATCCTTAGCTATCCTTAGCCAACGAGCAATGGCAAGACCCGGCAGTACAGAGCATTTCCGACCGGGAGACCGTATGGAAGGAGAAGGAGCTCCACGGGAGGTTCTACAAGGCTCTACATGAGCCTTGCGTAGACACAGTCGCCTCCCTCCACTGGCTACGTTTCGGTGACCTCTTTGGGGAAACCGAGGGTTTTGTCTGTGCGATACAGGATCAGGTTATTAAGACCAACAATTATCGGAGATACATCCTAAAGGATGGCGCCGTCGACATCTGTCGAGCTTGTCGCCATCCCGGTGAGTCACTTAGGCATGTCATCTCCGGTTGTTCGGCGCTTTCTAACTCTGAGTATTTGCACAGACACAACCTAGTAGCCAGGATTCTACACCAGGAGCTCGCTCTGAAATACGGTCTCGTGGATCGGAAACTGCCATATTATAATTACTTGCCGGAAGCCGTGCTCGAAAATGACCGCGCCAGGCTCTACTGGGACCGGGCCATCATCACGGACAGGACTATTCTTGCGAATAAGCCTGATATTGTGCTGATGGACCGGGCACAGTCAAGGATATTTTTGGTCGACATTACCATTCCTTATGACGAGAACCTCGTGAAAGCCGAAACAGATAAGTTGACAAAATATCTGGACCTGGCTCACGAGGTGACCGACATGTGGGGTGGTCTGCCGGCCGAAATTATTCCTGTGGTCGTCTCTGCGAACGGGTTAATCCCAGTCAGCCTCTCGGGTCATCTGAGGCGACTGGGACTCCGTGACGGATCGCTCCAAGCTCAAATGCAGAAGGCGGTGCTCCTCGATACCGCCCGCATCGTCCGCCGGTTTCTTTCCCTTTCTCCCTAACCCTCGGCCGTTTGGTCTCCCCTGCCGAGGGCTTCCATCTGGTTGGGTTTTTATATATTTATGTAATTTTGTATGTATTTATTTTATTTTATTGATATTTATGTAAGTTTATCATTTTCATTTACAATTATATATTTATACAGCCCAACCAGATGAGAAAACTATACAAATACCCAATAAAAATGGCGTCAATTTCATAGTAGGTAAGAATTGACATAAATATTGCAAAAATATTTGATTTTCAATACTTTTCTCTTAAAAAGTACATGTTTCCGCATATTGAAACTTTGTGTGTGTGCTTATAAAAATGTAATCTTTCTGTAAAAATACGTATCAACACCAAACTCGACGGACGTCAATGGAAAGTCGTATCGGGCCATGTAATATGTTATTAAATTTAACATACATAGTTCGGTCATATAGCAAATTAAAAATCAATTTACATACTTTTCCAAGAATACCTATCTCACACAGAATATTTGCCAATATGGAAGGATCAACATTATCAAATGCACTTTGTATATCAATAAATGCACAAAATGTAGTTGCATGTCTGGCAAAAGAATTTATATCTGAGATCAAAGAGGCAAAACTCTCTGCTGCACTTTTTCCTTTCCGGAAACCAAATTGTTGTTCAGGTAAAATATTATTTGCTTCTATGTAATAATCTAGTCTGTTTTTCAACATATATTCAAATAATTTTCCTACACAAGAGGAAAGTGAAATTGGCCTGTAGGAGTTGAAGTTAGTCATGTTCTGGTTTATCAGGTTTCAAAATAGGTATCACACATTGCGTTTTCCAAGACTTTGGAATACATTGATTGTCCCAAAGCAAATTAAAAATTTTTAATATAGTTTTTTGTCCATTAACATGCATGTTGCTAATAAGTTTGTATGGAATATCATCCAATCCCGGAGTGAAATCTCTGCTTGATTGGATGGCTGCAGTAAATTCATGCCAAGTAAATTCTTTCAATAGAAAAGAGCTACTGTCAGTACCTATCTGATTAAATATTGTATTTAAGTTTAAAATATCTATTTCCTTTTCAGAAGGTGTTGTTATGGGTGCATATTTATCTAAAAACGAAGGAATCCAATCATCATTTTTTGATGGCTTATGTATAGGCACTCTCTTAAATCTCCTAATATAATTCCAGATATAAGTTATTGAAGTATATCTATTAAATGAATCACAAATTCGTCTCCAACTTGTTTTCTTTTTTTCACTAATTAATCTCTTTTTGAAGGCATCAATCTTTTTATATTCTATATAATTTTCTATTGTAGGATTTAATTTGTAAAATCTTAAAGCATTTTTACTTTTCTTTACAGCTTCCAAACAGTCCGCGTCCCACCAAGGAACTGGTTTTCTCATAACAAACACATTAGGTTTGGAAATTATAGGTATACAGTCTTTCCTTATTTCTAGAAGTGTGTTGCAGAAGTTTTCATACGTATCAAGTAAATTTGATGTATCAATTGTGAAGTTTTCAAACTTTTTTTTTGTTTCAACCTGAAACTTTGACCAGTCTGCTTTTTTATAATTGAAACGTTCACAAGTTTCTCCTATATCATATTTTTCAACACAAGTATATAAGTCGACTATGGTTGGATAGTGATAACTACCCATAGGATCATCATGTACATGTCAATCACATAAATGAACTAAAGAAGGACTAACACATGAAATATCGATAGAAGATTGATTAAAATTAATGCTTCCTACTGTAGTTGGAGGTCCATTATTTAATATGCAAAGATTACATTCGTCTAACATGTTATAGATATCAGTGCCTCTAGTTTTTGTTGTGAGACATCCAAAAGCAATATGATGAGCATTTAAGTCACGTGAAAGCAAAAGTGGCGCAGGTAGACTGTTAATCATTTGTTTTAATCTTCTGACCTTAAAGCGACCTCCACTGGGTGGGGCATAGACACATATAATGGATATATTACCTAGACTTGTAGCACGTGAGTAAAGAAACCGACCAGAGGGGAAGCTACATACAAACGGCTCGCTGCAAATACACGCATACATAGCGCAGCGATGTGTGCGTGAGCTCTCACCGACAGGTTCACCGACGCTCCGTCGGGGTACAAACCAGTTCGCGCCGGCTCAATCAGAGTATCCTTGTAAGGGCTGTTGGTCGTGCGCATTTAATAAATAGACCAACAATATTTCGTAAATTTATACATAAATTAATTTATTAAGTATTTTTGCAATTATTAAATAATTAGATTTAAGTTTTTAATTAAAATAATTAAGTTATTATTATAGGTAAATAATATATATTGTTTAAAATTAATCGATACGAAACAGCTCTTGATTTCGATCAATTAATAAATATTGTGTTGTTACATTATGTAACATAAGTAATAATTAATACGCATGTTATTTTATATACTATATAATTTTTTTTCTTCATATTGTTTAAAATTAATCGATACGAAACAGCTCTTTATTTCGAACAATTAATAGATATTATGTTGTTACATTATGTAACATAAGTAATAATTAATACGCATGTTATTTTATACACTATATACTATTTAAATTTTTTCCTTATTGTTTAAAATTAATCGATATGAAACAGCTCTTGATTTCGAACAATTAATAGATATTATGTTGTTATATTATGTAATATAAGTTATAATTAATACGCATGTTGTTTTATACAATATATAATATTTTAATTTTTTCCTTATTGTTTATAATTAATCGATACGGAACAGCTCTTGATTTCGAACAATTAATATATATGTGGTTACATTAATATAAGTTATAATTAATGCTCATGTTGTCTTATGCTATACAATATTTTTATTTTTTCCTTAAATTTTTCACATGCATCATGTGACAACCCTATCAGAATAGGTATACATTTTCAACGTTGTTAAGGAGCTTCCCCTCTGGTCCTTACTCTTTACTCTGTGCTTGTAGTAAGGGTTATAGCTGCATATAATCATAGAACGGTGTGGGGACAACAAAATATTTGAAACTATTTTTAATTAATATTGCTACTCCTCCACGTGCATTTTTTCCATTCTGATTAATGAAATTATAGTTAGGAATGTTGATAGTTCTATTCTCTCGCAGCCATGTTTCATTTAACAGGCAAATATCTATATCATTCTCAACTACATAATTAATAAGCAAAGGTTTTTTATTATTAACAGATTGTATATTAAATTGTGAAATTCGAATAAATTGTTTATTCATTGTTTTTAAGATTAGTAATAAGCATTTCTTTTATACTTGATGTAGTCAGTTTACGACCTGAGTTACCCATGTCCACCAATGCTCCAATAATTGATTTCAAAATATTGTCATTTGTTATAATTTGGTCAATAAGTGTGTCATTATTATTAGTTATGGTATTAGTTTGGGTAGTGTCCGTCTTTGATTTGTGTACTTTAGGAGAATCATTAGATTTAACTTGTGATTAATCTGTTTTTGAATCCATTGTTTTTTTTTTTGTAGGCATTGAAGGGAATTTTTCGTTATAATTGTTAAATAAATTTTGAGTTTGTTTTGTTTGAAGACTTTAGCATACGTAGACCTATTATATTTTTCATCAATTTTTTTGTTTTTTTATTGGACAATCTCTAGAAATTGCGACATGAGGGCCACTACAATTTATGCATTTAATTACCGCATTTTCCTTACATTCAATGTACCGATGTTCACCTGCACAAATTGAACACCGTTGCACTGATTTACAAATTTTGGCTCCGTGATTAAATTTAAAGCATTTAAAACATAGTAAAAGCGGGGCAATATACTGATGCACCCTATATTGGAATAAAGCCACATGTACAAATTCAGGTAAGTTGGTTGACAAAAAAGTTACACTTACAGAGCCGAACGGTTGGATCTGTCCATTAACTTTTTTTGTGAAACGACGCACTGCAACGACCTAATATTTCGATGATAGTGTTTTAAACAGTTCTTCATTACTTATGCTAATGGGAACATACCTGAGTACGCCGATTGTTTCCACCTGGTTGGTATAAATGCCTTGTAATCATACTTCTCTAAGAAACTTTCATTTTTCAAAAAGTCGTTGGCGTTAATCGCCCGCGCAAATACCACCCCTACTTTAGAAGCGTTTATTCTTCTTATATCAGTGACTCCTTTTATTTCGTTTTTGAAAATTACCCGCCAACATTAAGGGATTCGTATTGCCAAGTTTAATTCCTTCTTTATGACTCTCAATAAAAACTGTGTATTCAGCCATTCCCATTGACTCAGGGAAAACTCTTTTATAATTTAATTAGTAGTATGGTTTATAAAAACCATCATTTTCCTGCTGCAGGTCTTGATAACGTTTTGGCGGTTTTCTTTTCCCGCCCGCGTCGTGATCCATATTTTTATCCATGCCGTCACTATCAGACGGCATTTCTCTTTATTCTATATTTTAATTTGTATAAAAATTTAAGAATTTTCCTTCAGAAGTTGAAGTTAAAATTAGACTTGTAATTTTAATTTATATATTCGCGCTTCCTCCCGCCAGTCAGGAAGCCCTTTTTTTATAGATAAACTGTCATCACAGACTACTTCGTGGATCATACCACAAACTATATAGAAACACTGATCATACCATAGAGATATATATCTATGGAGTGGGCATATTCCAGTATAGAAATAATAGTTATACAAATATCTATAATATCGACACACACTTGTCAAAAACAGTTTTGTCGCTTTTTAACAAGGCAGTAGCTGCAATAAAAAAGAGAGACATCTACAGTTTGTAAAGTGCTAATTTTGGTAATACTTTCGTGTGACGTCATTAGCTCATTCTTGCGTAATTGCGCCGCCATGTTAAATGCCAAGTTTTGAGGTAGATCTGCTGTCAAAATGTCAAAAATGTGTAGAAATTATTTTAATAAATTAATTTTGTTCAGAAATGAATGTATAATAATAATAATAGTTTATAAATCCTGGATATCATATATCATCTACCGTTTCATTTTAAATGAACAAAATTCATACCAGATTTTCGAATTTTAAATGACCAAAATTAATGTACCTGTGAAAAATAATAATATTTTTCATTTAAAATCTGACTAAAAAATGAAATATGATATCCGGCAGGACCGAACATGCTAATATAACTTACCGTTTGTAATAAGTTATGTGCAGAACGTTCCTACAGACCAATTAATAATAAATAAGTATTGATTTTAAAAACAGTTTATTTAATTTTTATTCAACTAATCATTATTATTTTATATTAAAAATACTATAATATGGGATTACAATATGGAATCAATGATCTCCATCCCATCTCCATACATTTGTTCACTGTACAATATTATTGTACAGTAAACAAAGGTATTTGGCATACAAGCAAAAATATTCATTTTCCCACTACTCTGTCAATATTCATTTTTATTGTGAGCGTTATAACTTTTTAACTTTGTTAATATTGATATAAAACAAAACGTGTGTGTGTGTGTGTGTACTTATGTACGCACGTAAGAAGTTATACTTCTTTAGCGTAACAAAAAAGAAAAATAACTAAAATAAAACACGTTTTATAGATTCATATATATTTGAATCTACCTCGAATATAGTTATCAGTTCTCGAAAACTTAACAATTGACAGACAATTACCAATTGAAGCTGTAAAAAATTCATGCTCATCATTTTTCTCAAACGCGCCACAAGAAGTATAATTTCAAAACTTGAGTAAGCACTTACTTACTAACTTAAAACAAGTTGCAAGTTAGCTGCCTGCAAACTTAACTTATTGTTTGACTGTGTACCTAACACAAAAAAATCTGTAGCAGTGTGCGTAAGTGTACATTTGCGGTGAAGCCTCGTGAAGCAGCTCATGCGAAATTTAAGGGATAGCAATCCAAAACTAATTTAACAACCCAACAATATCCATTGCTACATGTGATTGAAAAATTCGTTTACTCGACAACAAAACCACGCAATGGAAGTTGTTAAACTGTCAAATTGATATGGTTTGCCATTTTAGGTGTGTTACGCAATTAGGCTGTGGATTTAATTTCTATAATTATATGAAATAAGAACAAACTCATATTAGTAAAAACTTCGATATCAGCTACCCATATTGCTGAGTTAAACCCTATCAAAGGCGGCCATTTTTTGCGCCACATTTGTTTAGGTAGTCACGCT